AACGTTTCGTAATAAGGATTCTAATTTTGAAAACCAGAATTTCCGGTAAACCATTATCTAATAAACGGGAAAATTACGAAATGAATGGTTTAAATTGCATCTATTTTGTTTCATTAACCAGAATGAGCTTGCTTTTTAATAGATATGTCATTACCGTTCAGAGCAGTAATTTTACTAGAATTTTTTTTCTCCATATTCTAAAGGCACTGTAGTAATAGGGTTTTTTCGTCTCCCTCTTCCCTCCGAAATATTTAACGGAAAAAATTGCCTAAATTGTAACAACTTTTTATTCTAATGAATTGTTCGCTAGCGCCAGTCATCATGCCCAATGCTGCTGAGCACGGTCAACTGTTATTTTGATTCAATGAACTTCTAAAACATGTTTTTATTATGTCCGTACATGTTTTTCGTTTTTTACATGATTTCGATGGTGTCACTTTCAGATAACTAAATGAAAATATTTTTAGGTTTTAACGATGTGATAGGTTTTCTGCATCGTAACCAACAATATTATATTTATTAATTAAATTTCAGTATTTAATCTAAATCTTTTTATTTAATAACATAGGCTTATAACATCAAAATTCACTAATATATTCTATTTATAAATTAATTTTTCACACTTAATAAAAATATTTTTAGAAATTTAAGGATGTGATCTTCCTGCTACTAAAATTTATTTAGATATTCTATTTGTTAGTTAAATTTTCAAATCTGATATTGAAATTATTAAGATTTAAGGAAATTCCGGTTAGGGGGGAGTTTTGTATGAGTGTTGTCCGTTCTTCCGTGAAAAATTACGAAGTAATAAAAATTTAATCAAAAAAAATTTAAATGGTGTTATATAATTTTTTTGTCAGTTTTTTTTTAATGGTAAGAAGGTTCAAATCTCCCATTTAATTGATTCGATTATTCTTATAATTTTATTGACTGATGATCGGGTTTTGAATCTTGAGGGAGTTGGATTTGTTATTCCATATCTGGGGAGACATTTGAAGTGAGAAAAAGAAAGGAAATGAAGAAAGTTCAGGAAGATTAGTGAAAATGTAATGAGCAAATGAATGTGAAATAATAATGATATATAAACAGTAAATCGTAAAAATCAGCAATTTTATTACTAGTTTGTTTTTTAAAAGCTTCAAAATATACATTTATTAACAGTTATACACTGTTAGAATTTTCATTCTAAAATTATGGTAAAATAACCGGCAGCAGTCTGTCCATCCAATTAACGGTAAAGTTTACTGTAAAGAACACTTTTTACCTTTACTGCTTTGAAATATTTTACAACTAATATGGTTATAAAATTATGAATACAAAAAATTCGGTTTTTTAACCATTTACTACTAGTATGGTTTCATAACCGTAAAAATAAACTTTAAATGGACATTGGAGCAAGGTCTTTCGTTAGGTAAAGGGCATCGAAGTACAAGACACTGGAAACTCTTCATGTGTTGAAGGGAATGGAGGAAATATTGTGGTGTCAACGCTAGGACTCGAACCCCATTCTTTCGGTCATGAAACGAACAGATTAGTCCCCTTGGCCAATCAAAATAACATGCATTCAGCTGCAAGGAACTAAGTTGTTTCTTTAGATGGGCTAAGTTGGTGCGATAAAATTTTGGTAGTTTAACCGTATTGGGTGAAAGCATTTAATAAACTGTTTTTCTCGCAGTTAACAGTTTGATTACCATCTTATTGATGATTATTTGACTGTTATGTTTGAAAATGGTAAAATAGCAATTAGATAAATTGTCAATTAACCATTTTTTTTCGAGAAATTTCTAAGAGTGTGACATATACAGAGGTTGGACAAAATTTTGGAAGCACTTCTAACTCTGTATAAATAGTTTTAGCAGCAAATTTTTTTTAAAGATTTTACATGGAAAAACTGTTGGTACAATTTGAAAGAGCATACTTGAAGCTTTTAGAAATGATAGGATAGCAAATTTTGTATTGACAAAAATGAAAGTATGACTTCAAAAGCTTCTTTTCATTTTCATTAAAAAGGTATTTTAATAAAATATCACAATCCTATAAAAGGGTTTCAAAATTGTTGGTATTGAAGCCAGATAAAATTTATCCCGTGGAAAAAAAATTCTTTTTAATTTCGTTCGTTATTATCATCAAAATGTTAGAAATAGATTATTTGAAAAAAAATTCACGAAATAACTACTATATTTAATATTTTCACAAAGCTGGGAAATGTAAATGGAATACAGTATTTTTTTGTTTAAATTACAGACATAATTTTCAAAATAAATATAAATAAATAATATAACAATATTATTGTTCATATAAACTCTCATGAATTCCATGTTCCTTGGATTCCTTTTAATTTCTAACAAATGGCACGAAACTGCTGAACTTTTAGCGGGAAAAGTTTTTAAAAAAAAGTATTGTTATCTATCGGAAAAATGGTAAATTACATATTATGCACAGGACGAACTGAGTTCGGGCTTCACACAATTAACACACCAATTTTTCTTTTGCCCGAACTCAGGTCGGGCATTCCAAAATTGGAGCATTTGCTTGAAGGATCATAGGCATTATCTTTCACGTTATGACAACAGATTTACCATGAAAAGATGATTGTCCACATAGAGTTAGTACATAAGTAAATAATAGTAGTCATGTCTATTTAACTATGCTAAAAACGAAATGATTTTATTACCAGTTTCTTTTCTTTTTTATCCCACCAAATAGTCAGCTCTGATTTATCTCTAGCGTTTATAATTTTTTACTGCAAAATAAATATAAAAAATTACTGTTTGATAACGAACAATTAAGATGAACGATATATTCCTATTCTCCAACATTTCATATTTCTTTTTCTAGTAGTGATTGTAAATTATAGCAAATTTTTTTAAAACAAATCGAATTTTAAATAAACTTTGATCAGAACTTAGAAACATCACCATTTAGCCATATAATCTTTATTGTATCTATTCAAACTATTTATTTGTGGCGGTGGACACTAATGTTTTAATTCTAACTGGTTAAAATGTTACCTATGCAACCACTAGGAAAATCAATTATTGAAACTACGGAATTTTTGTTGTAGTTAGAGCGTATGGATTTATTGTAAAAGACAATTTTGCTTTAAAGCGAAAATTTTTTTTTAAAGATGTATTAAAAAATTTTTTTTTATTTAATTTTTGTAATTATTTTATTAAAGTTATAAAAGGATAAGTGTCACATGGTACTTTTGCTACTATATGACGTCATTTCAATGAGGAAGCTAAACCGTTTTTTGGCTTTTAACTCACAATTTGTATGTTGTTACCAAATCTTTTCATTCCGGAAATTTTTCGTAACTATTTGAAATGGTAAAAAAATTTATGCCTTACTTTTAGATACAAATTTGATTCAAAAGGCTTTTGACCTAAATAATTTCAAACCCAATAAGTGAGATCTGATATTTATTAGGTGATGTTTTTTAAGTGATATCAAAATTAAAAAAAAATTCTGCTTTCTATATGTTCTATATAATAAATATTTTAAACATTGTGAATAGTTAAATATACTGAGTTGTTAACTATAGTTGCAAACCTATTATGTTTAAACCTATTATTTGTAATTCAATATGGTTACAAATCTATCATTTGTAAATCTATATGGAATGTAAACCTGTTTTTCATTTCTTACAGCTTACTTAAATCTTATAATTATTGGTTTTAATTACTTTGATTGCAAATTTTTCAATTACACCTTTTGGAGTACTATAACTTCATTAACCCCTTGGGGACGGGTGATTCAGAAAAGCATTCGTACAAAATCAGAATCAAGTTGCAATTAAATAAAAAACGGTAACTTAAATGTAGTCGTTACTAATTTGACAGACTTACTTTGCTTTTATTTTAATTATTGTTTGTTTAATCATATATATAATCAATGTTAATTCAAAGTATAACTAAATAGTTTTATTTTGAACAAAGTAATGGTGAATTAAATAAATCAAAAAATTATAACTCCGCCCACAAATAAACTGCTAAAGAAATACTTTGATTACCAGTTTTATCTTCTTACCCTGATTGATACGGTTTTTTGCTGTCACGTATTTGTGACAGTCGGCGCGAAAGGGTTAAAATTTTGAATAAATATATGTCACTTATATTAAAAGTTTAGTTTTTAGACTGTCCTAGAAGAAATTCGAAAATAGTGATAATATTTTAATAAAAAAAACTAAAGGTTGGTTTTTATTAGCTACCAATTTAACATTAAAAATACAAAAAATGTGATTTTTTGTTGCTAGATGATTCTCGATTTTTTATATAGATATGTTTTATTGGAAAAATGAAGGTTAGTGTTGAATACGAATCAATAAAATTATATTTAATTTTCAAACTTTTGCTACCACTTTTTCAATTTTTTAGGGACACTACGAGTCCTAGTAATATCCAATCTAAGAAAATTCGTATCAAAATCGGGTCACAGATTTCGGAAAGATATTAGTGACAGAAATTCATATATTTCTCATCCTCTCAAACGACTACAGAAATTCTACATTTGCGTAAAATTATTTTTCTAGTAAGAGGAATGTAAATATCTGGTTAAATTAGAACGAAAATTTCTTATTTACCCCTACACACAAATAATTCGAACTTGCTGATAAAAGATCATATTGATGTAATCATGCTTTTAAGAATTGCATTTTTCTTTCAAAAATTTTAATGAATTAAATTCATTTAATACATTAAATTAATAATGTTTAACTACATCAAAATAATGGTAGTTCCTTAAAATTAAAATAAAATGCATAAAATTTTGCTTTAGCTAATTCTTCATTAAAAAGTGGAATGATTTCTGATTCTGATACATATTTTTATAATTAGTATTATATAGCAACAGATTAATCATTAAATCATTCTCTGAAATTATTAAATACTAGTTATCCAATAATAACGATATAATTGGATAATATATTAAACTGGGCTGTTGTTCTTTGTTGCTTATGTAAATAATAAAAAATTGCTTTGCAAGAGACTTTAAGAAGTGCATTAAAACTTTAAACAAATATATTTATTGCAAAGTATAAACAAAATAATGAATATAATGTTCGGACTTTACATAAAATGATAATGAAGTTAACTTCATGAGCAAACAACCAGTCATATCCATAAGTATGTAGTTCCAAGAAATCAATCATTACCTAAAAAAAGATTATATTCAGATTATTAAATTTAATAATTGATTAGCAAACAAATGAAGTCAAACATTTTAAAGCATTTGCAATTTTTATCAGTTGTCAGAAAAATTATTACCAAGTGATTCAGACTTTATTTGTGTCGATTAAAAAATGCTTACTTTTAAAAAAATATTTTAAATAATTAATTTTTTTATTAATTTATTTTATTACTAATTAATTTATTATTAATTTACTTTATAATTAATTTATTTTATAATTAATTTATTAATTTATTTAAATATTTCTTTTTATATTTTGAAAATAAATTTTTTATAAATTATTATTTATTTGGAAACGGAAAAATTACCAAATTTTTGGTTTAAATATCATAGATTTTAGTTTTTATAACAAGAGTTTAGTTTTTATCACATGATTCTCCGTGTATACAGAAGATGATTACACTTTTTCAGAATTTCCTATTCATTTTTTTCTAATTCAAAATATTCTAAAAATTGTATGATACTTATTATATTAATAAGTTACATTAATGAAAATCTTATTTATATAATGAATCTTATTTATAATGAATCTATAATGAATCTTATTTATCTTAATGAAAAACAGGATAGTTTGTATGAGTATAGCAAGATATGGTCTAAAATGATAAACCAAAAATCTGTTATAATAAGAACTATAAATTTGAAAACCAGAATTTCCTTAAAACGCTACCATATTAAGAAAAAAACTACTAAATGAGTGTTTTAATGCCGTTCCTTTTATTTTGGTTTTATCAACTAAATTTTTTTTATCAGAAATGTTATTACTTTATTTTACAGTACAGTAAATTTATCATAATTTTTTTCTCAGTGCAAATATTTTAAATAATATCATATACTAGTAAAACTAAATCATGAACTATAAAGAAAATTTTAAAAAAAATGTTCCTATGAATTATGGGAAGAAATTCGATGCAATGAGATTAAAAATATTTTTAAGTTGAACATGGTTATTGAACACTTAAACCTTGATTTTTTACTAAATCTAAAATGAAAGGAAATTAATTGACAATAATGCATATTTTGAATAGAATAAATGAATGTCGATACACCATCGAATAATTAAAGTCTAAAATGTATACTAATATAATAAATGTTAAAAAAAATTAGTTATTGATTTTTTTATATTTTTACGTAATTATAATTCAACCTCCTCTGCTTCTAAAGAACCCGAATAAGGCAAATAATTTTGAAGTTAATAATAGAAAAAAAATTAGTTTGATCAGATGTTGTTAAAAATAATTTGTAGAAATAGTTTATAATTTGTACAATTTTTATGAAAAAATTATAAAATATACGAGAAAAAGAAGTAAAACTAAAAAAAACTTAAAAAAAACTACATCTCAAAAATGCAGACGAATTTTTATAAAATTGAATTTAAATAAACGAATTTAAAAATGTTAGAAATTTTTTATCTTGTTCGTCTACTATATTGTGTAAACTTTCGGCAACACTCAAATAATGATTTAAGTTTAACTCTGTTATTGTGCAAATTAAACCATCTTGGATTTGATAGCTGCCTGTTACTATTCTACAACTTATACAAAACCAGTATTAAACAGCACCTAATTTAATTTGCATCAATTTCACACGATAAAATAGTTCTAAATACCTATATTATGGTTCAATAACGCACTTATTTCTTTGGTAAGGTAAGACCATATAAAAGAACGCTTTAAATTGCATCTAAAGTTTTCTAAAATATAAAACTCACTCAATTAATCGTTCCTATTTCTTCCACCATTGAGCAGCAGTGTATGGAGCAACGAGAGAAGCACCATTATTCCACCCATAACCGTAACCGTAAAGTCTTCCAGCGTAGTTGCCATAGTTGTATGCGTATGGGTATCCATAGCGAGGGGCTACGCCGTAATATCCTCCATAGTAAGGATATTGAGCAGATACGCAAACTGCTAAGACAACAACTAATAGGATGACTAGCTGAAACGGGAAAAATAATAAAAATTAATAATTAAAGACACGAATATATTATTAATATAGATAAAAAAAACTTCTTTTTTAAAAAAAAATATTTAATTTCTTTAACTGAATTTCTTTCTACGTAAATAGTTGAAAAAAATTTTTTTTTTAAAATTTTAATATGAAAAATATTTGTTTTTATAAACGAAGTATAGTAATGTTTTTCATTTCGAAAATCACCAGCATTTTATATGTAACACAAATTCATACGATGAATCATCTAAGAATAATGTTCAATAATAAATATTTCTAAATATTATTAAACAAGTTTATTTTCACTGCCTTTTTATCAATTGTTTACAAAAATTCATTTCTCTTGAATAAAAAATTTACTTTTGGTAACCGGTATAGCAACTTTTTTTCGAATTTAAAGCAAAATATTATCAATACAATTTTATATTTTCATCACTAATACAATTTGTTTTAGATCAAAACAAGTAAAATTCGTTGCACGTTATTGGAATTAACGTTTCTTTATTAAAATAATAAACAAAAACTAATAATAAAAACATTAACATTTAATACAATAAAGATATAAAAATTAGTTTTCAAAATTTGCAATCTTTTACTCTATCGTAAATATATAATAAGTCTAAAAGCATATAACTACGCATAACTTTGTTTACAAGCAATAAATGAAATTTAAAAATTATAAACTGATTTTTAAAGAACGGTATTTAATATAATTCAGATAACAAAAATTCTCTTCTGCACTGGGTGTTTTATTCAATTAATTTCAAATATTATTTTTTTTTCATTAAAAAAAATGCATATAATCATTCGTTTTATAATTGAATTATTTGTCAAAAAAGGTTTTGGTTTTGGAAAAAGATTTGAAATTCTATTTCAAAATTTTTATTGAATATATAAATATTGCGTGATTTTTATAAATTTAATACTAGGAGGTATCCACTTTTAAACTCATTATAAGGAATAAAAAATAGTAAAGATTGTTTAAAATAGATATTTGAAAAACGAATATCAAATATACCAAACATAATTAAAACGTACATGCAACATGAAACGGAATTTGTAAATAATTAATTAGATATAATTACTGTAACATGAACTGAATTTGTATAAGACATAAATATTCGCATTTAGATATTAATGCTATAAAATTATTAGAATACATCTTAGAAATAAGCACTTAGAAATAAGCATAAGCATAATTCGATATAAATGCTGTAAGAGGAATAGAATTCATCCAAAATATGTATGCAATAGATTAGATATACATGTTATAAAATTAACGGATTTTAATTTAGTATAATTTAGACAAAAATGGCATAAGAAACTATAAGATAATATATGAAAGCTGTAAGATGAATTGAATTTTTTTCCCCACATATAATCAGGTATTTATTCTATAAAATTAAAGTAATTTGTCTTAAATACAATTAATTATATTAAATACTCTGAGAGGTTTAGAATTCGTTTAAGATATAAATGTAATGAATTAGTTATAAATATTATAAGATTAATGGAATTTCTTAATTTAATGGATTAAGTGAGCAGGAATACTAAAAGATGAATGAAAATCGTCTTTGATATAAATACAATAAATTCGTTATAAATATGATAAAATTAACAGAATTTTTTATTTCAATGGAATAATTTTACAGAGATGCTAAAAGATGAACAGAAATTGTCATCGATATATATAAATTATATATATAAATGCAATGAGAGGAACAAGACTTAAAAGAGCAAGAAAGTTTTTTGTTTGAAAAAGGAAAAACGATAGCAAAGTTTTCTTACCATGGAATTCATTTTGGATGTTGTTGGTGTGATATCAGCTGCAGTGATAGAAAAACTGATGCCAGATCCAGCAAGTCTCAAAGCTTTTATACTAAAACTGAAACTCGGTGCCTTACACTAAAGACAGAGCATCTCAAGGCTGACTGAAATTATATTCGAAAAGTAAAACAATGCATCCTGATTCCGAAGTGCATACAAGAGATTTATTTATATTTAGTCAACAAATTGGTACAAATCTAGTAGTTCTCGTCAAAAAATCTCTGTCTTCATCCTTGAAATAAATATTCTTCCCTCTATAGGTGTTCCAACTTTCTCCATATTACACCTTTGACATTCATTGTAATTCCTTAACACTATGCTCGAAGAAGGTGTGCATTTAATGTTCTATTAACAGAATAAAAAATTCATGAGGAATATGCTGATGCTTGGAAGTGGAAATGAAAAAAGAATTCGTAGGGGTCGACATGATTTGCATTGTCGTTTGAGCTTGGATGAGAAATATGAATGAAGTGATTTTCTAATGTTCCATTAAGTAGTCATTTTTGTATGCATGAAGGAATGCAAACGACGGTTCTCTTTATTTAGGGCTTATTCTTTTGTAAAAACGCTTCGGTATTTACAAATTTATTCCATTTCATTGATGAAAGTAATCACGACTCGCTAAATACTCGCTTTGTAATTTTTTCAACGAGTTCTATTAAGTGTTTTATTAACGTTTTATTCTAAATATGGTTAATAAAGAAATACTTCAAGCGTTGTTTTAAATGTGGTGTAATTTTGCGTAATATTTTTTTAAAAAGCTGTTTTTAAGGTTATAGCTTTTTTCTAAAGCTTTATCTAGCATTATAAACGTATGAAAATGATGTTTGCCCTTATAATGAAAATTTGCAATAAACATTCGCAAACAATGATCTATTGCCATTTGTAATTATAATACACTCATAGTTTTCACTATAAAATATTTTATGATTTTTCTTAATGCAGTAACTTTCTTTAATCTTTGTTTTCTTAATCTTTGTAACAAAAGAAAACAATTTATGAAAATGATACTTTTAACGTTGTAGCGTCTTCTCTAAAGCATTAATCATCATTACAAATGTATAACATTAGCTCTATTGACATTTGTAATTATGCAATTATAATGAAACATTTTATGCAATTTCTACACTAAAAATTCCGGATCAAATTATTTTAAAAAGTACTTTTAGCCCGTACTTTTTATCGCAAAATCCATTTTTACTGGAACAAATTACGGAACCAAAATCTGAGAAACCATAATTTTTGCAATAACGGTATCACTGAATCCCTCTAGTTAAATAAATATTACTATATTACGGTAATTATTACTGTAAAAATTACGCTATGCCAGATTTGTTCTGCAGCATATTCTAGTAAAAATGGATTTTATGGTAAAAAGTAGCTGGTACTTAATTCCGTAATTTGAACCCAAATTTTTTACAGTATAATATGATATTAATAAAACTAATGAAAAGTACTCAATTTTTGAAAACGCTATTTCTAACTTTGTAGTTTACTTTTTAAAGCTTGATCTATCATTACAAATGTATAAAAATGACATTTACATTCAAAATGAATGTTTGCACACATAGAGCATTTGAACTTTTAGAAAAAAAAATGAAAATGTTATTTCTACCGTTTTAGCTTATTTTTTAAAGCAGGATATTCATACAAATGTGCAAAAATGATATTTGTGCTAATTATGAATATTTACAATGTACATAATTATGTAATTATCATTTGCTCTATTGACATTTACAATTATACTGCACTTATGAACATACATTTTCAGGCGATGTTATTGTGAGTAATACAAGGAAAACAATTACAGAAAATGCTGAAGCATCATGACAAATGAGTAACATTGGTATTTGCATTTCAGATTTAAAGTCGACAGAAAGGTTTCTAATCTATCATTTACTTCAACTGTATCAACTATTGGCTGCAATCAATATTTTTAGTTCACCATGAACTAACACTTAATTATTAATAACATTCGGGAGGTGAAGATGTAATTTTGACTTTTTTAAGTTTTAACGGGGGTCAAAAATTGAAAAATTAATGAGTATGAAACAAACAGCGATACTTCAATATGTAAACTACTAAATTCAAAAAAATAGTTCTTATTTTTTGTCTAAAAATTAAGTTTACCAAAAAGTTTTTTGGTAAAAATTAAGTTTACCAAAAAGAAAAAATATGCCTTCTAATAAACTTAGATTAAGTAATGAACACGGAGAAATAATTCTGGTAAAATATTCATACTGAATGGCAATGACACCTCTGTTACAAAAAAACCTTAATTCTTGTTAATAAAGTCAATATATACGGTATTTAAATCATTCACTTGGAAATTTTTTCCGCTCATTCGGTAAGGGTTTACCGGAAATTCTGGTTTTCAGAATTATAGTTCCTATTAACAGACATTTAATTTTACCTTATAATTATTATGCCGTGAAGAAATCATGATAAATTTACCAAATTTTACCAAATGTTAAGTATGATATCATGATAAGTTTGGTAAAAAATAGTTACCAAACTGATTTTGTAAAAATTACCGATCTCTTTGGTGTTCAAATGGAGCCAGAAATAGGGTTAATTTTACTATATTCTAGTAGTTTTGACCATACTTTTTTCTCCATGTAGTTGGAAAAAAGTTAATCAAAGGAAGTATATACACCTGAGTTACTTCAAGACTATGCAAGTAAGACCTAATATTAAGCGTCATATTAAAATATATATAGTAAATAATTAATCTTCGTATTGTTTTCATACTTCAAGTTGCTATATAGCTGTAGACCTATGTTAATTAATTAAAATATTATAAATGCTTGTGATGGAATGATATTTTTCTCAAATTTTTCAGTCGAGATATGCTTAGAGCCCTTAGAACAACGAATTTTAAGCATTTAATTAATACTTTTTAGCATATTGAAAAAATAGTGTCTTATTAATAATATTCATACTTGTACATGAATAATGCAAACTTGCAATCATGGGGTTGAAAAAGATTGCAAATAAGTAATAAAATAATTTTTGTTATAATAGTTTTGTTAGTTTTATTTTTTAACACCAGTTTCCTTTAAATGTGCTGAATTTGGAATGTTAACATAAGCTTCGGAGTTAATTTGTAACTTTGTCTGAAATTGGTAGTCGAAATTTCTTATTTTATTTGAAAATATAGGTGATTTTTTACACTTAAAATGACACTCCAGAGATTGAGAACTGTTTATTGGCAATTAAAATGTCTCGTCTTTAGTGAAAATATGGGCGGATTTAAATATGAAAATTGGTTAAGTCAATGCAATTAAAAGTCTAAAATACTTCTAAAAAATAATTCGCTAAATTTCCTTTCGAGTTGACCTGTCATTTCATCTGAAATCGGCAGCTAAAATGTCTCGTTTTTAGTGAAAATATGGGCGGATTTAAATATGAAAATTGGTTAAGTCAATGCAATTAAAAATCTAAAAGGGACACTTTTGTGATTAATGTATAACATCACCATCGCAAAAACTGTATTTTTTTGGATATTAATATTATCGTAGAGAAAAATTCTTTGAAATGGTGCCATAAGCTTTGAAGTTCATCAGTAACTTAATCTGAAATCAAATTCGAAATTTGATGCTGTCGACGAAAACATGCTTGCGTATTAACGTTAAGATTTCTTTAAAAAAAATTTCTATGGTAAATGAATTTTACGGACACTTTTAAGACAAATTTATCACACATTAGCACCGTCAAATCAATATTTTTGGTCATTAATTTCTCTTAAATGATTCAATTTTCAAAATTCTATTAAATGACATAAACTTTGAAATAAGATGTAACTCAGTCAAACGTTGACAGTTAAAAACTCATGTTGCAAGTGAAAATATGAGTTAGTTTTAAAATTACAAAGACCTCTTTAATTTTTTTATTTTATTTTCATAGCAAAACTTACATTTTTGGATATCAATATTTTCAACTAAAGTCATTTTTTAAAATGGTGAAATTCATTTTGAAAATGATTTGTAACTTTGCCTAATAAATGTCAGACGGAATATCAAATTGAAAGTATTCGACTGTATTTGAACAATAGTGTACTCCAGCAGTGGACTGATCGTAAAGACACGGTTCCCAGTAGAACACGGCAGTCAAGCATCACTGGCTGTTGTCAGTAAGCGGGTGGGTGACCACTTTGATCAGCCTGCGTAGGGACTGGGGATGCACGGTATCGGTCTTCGTTAAACTGTTCTAACGTAAAGTGCTCGACTTCACGAGCAGCTCGTCGGGCTACCAAAGCAGGGGAGCCATCCTCTCTGTAAAGGATCAAAATTGCTATGGTATGTCTTCGGATCCTCCTCAGGGATGTTTCCCAGACCGTCGCCAATAGCTCATTGTGGAGCTCTAGTGCGAAGCAAATAAAGTACCTACCTTGAACAATAGATAGGTATATAAATAGGAGTGGTATTTTTAACGTTACAAAGTAGAACTAAGAGATTAATTTCGTTTCTCACATTGAGATAGAAAGCATGATCAAAACTATCAGAATATGATAGAATTAACTTTCTTGATTTGTAGGAACACCAAAAAGTTCGTTGGTATTTTATGATATGTGATAAAATTTGGCAAAAAGCTGAGTAATTTTTAGCGAAGCGCTTTGGTAGTGACTTCGGTATAATTAAGAATAAAATATGGTTTTATAATATGTGATAAAATTTGATAATTTATCATGATACCATTAAGCATGACATAAAAACTTTGTCTTTAGTAAAATTTATTTTTAAGCTTTGTATTTTTTTTTTATCAATTATGGTAATAAGAACTATAATTTTGAAAACCAGAATTTCTGGTAAACCGCTACCATAAAAGCAAAACAAAACATTCCCGCAACAGCCCATTGTAAGCCAGGGGGGTCAAGGGGTAAAAGGCTCCACAATTTTGTAAACAGGGGCATGTTTTGCGGCAATGTGATCACCACTGAGCACAGTCCGCCTTTACATCCTAGATAAGAAGATACCCATCGATCTGAAGCTGGGTTCAAGCCGCCACTGGGGATCGAACCGCAGCTCTTCACAATGACAGCCAAGTGCCTTAACCACTGAGCCATCGCGAATCGAAACCGTCACCATATGAAGGAAAAAATAGCCAAATGAATGGTTTAAATGCCGCATATATTAGGTTTTTTTGTTAAACCATGTGTCTTTTTTTTCCAGAAATGTTCTCACCATATAGTTCAATAATTTCACCAGAATTTTTTTCTTCGTGTACAGTTGNTTCCCTATCATATAAATTTCGACATAAATATTAAAGAATTTAATTTACTTTTCTTTGTTTCATAATTTAAATTTTTCTTTTATCAAAAATCGTGATATACAATAGCAAAAAAAGTTTTCTCTCAAAGAGGGCATATTAATGGATCAAAAAAGGAATAAGTTTTAAATTTCACAAATCAAAAATTAATATTTTTTATTTAAAATTTACTACAATCGCTTCAAGTTTAGTCCTTTAGTGATTAATGTGATTCTCATACTTGAAAGTTTAAAAAGAATTTAAATTTTTTAAGAATTTTAGCACAATGAATATTGCTTTCACTAGTTTTATTTTAAAATTACTATAGTGAAATACCTTAAAGATACAAATATGCATTATAGTTAAATTAATAAGCAAATCACCAAAATATAAAGAGTATTAATTCTAAATATATTTAATATTATATACTAATATCTATAATCTGAATAATAATAATGTATATAATATTAATTAAATATATATATAATCTTATATACAATACTTTTTGCACACGATACTTTTTACAGCGCATCAAAATATCCTAACAAACCCTGAAAAGAGTAGCATTATCTTGGAATTTTCGTGTTTTTGAATTTATTGTAGCATAAACGTGCCAGCTACTTATCATAAAACTCTCTTGAAAAACATTTTTAGTGTTAAAAAAAAGTCATAAACCTTGTGCATTTTTCAAACTTTATTAACATTTAAAGGGTAAAAGCATTGGTTTAGGACAAAGAATATTTCAAAGTCAACAATAGAAGATGAAAAGGTTGAGAATTTATTCCAAACATCAACTCTATCCGAAATCATGTCCTAAATTCGACACCGGTCTAGTCGATATCTGTAAGAAAAATAAAAAGATAAATAACAATATTTACAACAGACATTTTTATTTCAAACTCTTCAAAACTAAGATGTACTTTTCATATATTTGAGCAAATGTTAAAGTCAAATATTCTTAGAATTTTATAAAGTTCAAATTATTATCTGAATAAAATCATGACGAAATATTAATATTAATTTAAAAAATATCTAAACAAATTACAATTTTTAAAGATATATTCAGATTGCTTCATGCCAAAAAATATTTACCATTCATTATAATTTAAATGGATTATCATGTATTTGTTAGAAAAGTAAACTTAGAAAATTGCATTTTTGAAGTTCAATGAATTTTAGGTATCGAAAATTACGTTTCTTTTCTTCAGATTTTTTTTTTCATTTCAAAACATATTTAGTATATTAGCACATATATTATAATTTCAAAATATCTATATCTACTTTTAACAAAATAAATATAAAAAAATTTTATTTTCAAATTTTCAAACTTATCTAGATTTTAAAATTTCAAAGAAATTTAGTATCAATAATTAAATTTTTACTTCTCTAGATATATTTTTTAGTTCTCGAAATATTTATTAATTTAGCGGGATCAAATTCAAAATGAACATTGCGTGTTCTTTAGTAATACGCATTTATGAAATTACATTTTAAAATTTTAAACTTATCTGGATTTTTAAAGAGTTTTATGAATAAATAATTAAATTTTTTCTTCTCTAAATATATAAGTTCTATAAGTATTTAGTAGTTTAGCGGATAATGTTTCAATCAATATGAAAATGAAACGATGCAATTATTTTGTGTTGGTCTTTACCCTTAAAAAATTCATTTTACCTCATAAAATGCACCTAATCTGGTTTTTTATAATGGGACAATACCTTTACATTTTAAATTGGACACTAAAAATTTTTTTTAACATGAGATGGCTTATAAATTACAAAAATAATCTAAAATGAAAAATTCGCTATTCTTACCAATATTATTCAAAGGCTCACTTCCAATAATAAGCAGCAGGGTTGTAAGCGTAGTTGTAGGCGTAAGGGTATACAGCAGAATGGGCACCATAATAATATGGGCTATAGACGTACTGGGCTAAATACCGAAAAACATGGCGGCGAAAAGAAGGAGTAACCACTAAACAAAATAAATGATAATAGAAAAGCAATATTAATAATAATTTAGAAGCTAATGAAATTAATATAATAATAATGAAACTAATATTAGATTTAAAAAAATGCTTCGATTGCATTCTAAATAGGGAATTTAGAATGCATAGAAACACCCAAAATTTCTGTAGAATTTGTTTTGTTTTGTTTTAAACCACGTAATTTCGAAACTTCATAAAAAATTTTTTTACAATATACTCGATATCTATACACGATAATACGTATATAATACATACGATACGTTCTGCAATGTATAAGATATAGGAGTGTTTTCAAAATGCCACTATAGTTTCTATTCTCGATTATGAAAAAGAAATATGCAATGTTTTTTTTAATTTTCTCGAAAAATTAGAAGCTCAAAAGAGTTTTCAACGTTTTTCGATGATCTTTCGTCTAGGAAAATCAAAACAAAAAACCACAATTTAAGTGCTTTACACTTGAGGCAAATTTATAATTATAATTTTAAACTATACATTTGCCAATCATTTGCCTTTTCAATCGCCAATTTGGCGAGACATTTCCACCCATAAGAAAACTCGCGAAGTTAATGAATAATTATTGGTTTTTGAAACTTTTTATAAGCCAGATAATGCAGCATTGAAGTAACTTTTTAAATATTAAAAAATTAAAATACACAATCATAATAAATCACCAACTCTTTTCAGTTTAACACAATTGTAGTTTTTCTATCTATAGACGTTTTGATCTATTTTTTGTATTAGGGTGGCGCTTTTTAATAATAGTTTAAACCTGATCTAACAGTCATTAATAACTGTTTTTAACTCACAGCAGCTTATAAGAACAGCATATTTTTCGAAGAAAAAAAAGTGTTATTTCATGTGGCGTCAAAGTCTCCTTATGGAAAAAAAAGTCCTAATCCAAATTTTTTTAAATGAGAAAAAAAGAGGAAACCTAAAATCAAATAAAAGGTTTTGATAAGTGAATCAAATTCATAGAATTTAAAATTTATACATATTGGAAATTTATACATGTTTTAGTAAAATTCTTGATAAAAGAATGCTTTTCATCATTTAGTTATAAAATTACGCTTCAATTCCATTACAAAAAGCCATGTTATCTGTATCTGGTTGATAACAATAATATTATTATCAAATTATTTTAATCATAATATCGGTATCAGAATATTGAACCATTAATTCGGTATTGAATCGTAATATCGGTAATAGCTCGCTAAACCATAATAACGGTATCTTGAACCATGGTATGATGCTAAATTATATCATATTTCTGTTGAAGTTGAATCATAGTCAAGTTTAAAAAGTTGAAGTTTAAAAGTTAATCAAGTTTAAAAAGTTCGATATTGGTGCTCAGATGAACCATATTATTATTATAGTTAAACTTAGCATCATATTTAGGTTGCAGCAAATTTGATTGATATTATGGTTCAAAATTCAATAAATTATCCAATGGGAGGATGAATTAAAAACTAAATTTAAAAGAAAACTAAAAAATATTAAAATTCGATTTCGAAAGGTTACACATTTTGTTGATTAAAAATTTAATTCAAGAAAGCTTTATTTGCTTACATAAAACTAAACTTAATAACCTTTTTCTGAAATATTTGTTGCCATTTCTAAAACCACTATCCAAAAATTTAATTGCGGCGATTGAATGGTAATTTTTTAAATACGAATTATATATTTATACATATTTCTTGTCTGATACATATTTGATATACACATATAATGCATATTTCTTATCTGATATTAACAATATTCAGACAAGAAATGTTTTATAATATTCGTTCTTAAAGTCAAAATAATCTTTTTACACAAAATAAAGATTTTTATGTATTAGGGATAGAATTATATATGATGATAGAAATGGAAATATCCGCTTAAAATTTTACTTATAACAATTTGTTAGACTAATTATTAAGTTCTGGAAAGAAGAATAACATTTTTTAATTAAAATTAAAGAAAATGTTTTTGTCATTGATTGGCTGAATTTTATCTCAAATTTTACCTCAATTTTAGCAAAATCAATACTTTTTTTACAATAAACAACTAAAAAATGTTTTTCAATTTTTTTTCTATTTTCAATCATCATGAATTTATGGTTCAGAAGTTCTTGCGTTGTCATATTAAAAGTTCACTAATTTAAAAGCAAGATTAATTATCACAAACTTCAATTTCAACACTTGAGTTATTTTTGTTTGAACATTTCAAACTAAACATTATAGTACAGTGCAGTGAAAATAATTTTTAAAATGTAAAAAAAAAAATCGACATAAATAGTGAAATCGGTCAAGCATGTATTACTCCAATGTTAAATTGTCGAAAAACTTAAAAAATATTATATTTTCCTTAAAAAAAATTTAAGATGAGCTTTCAAGTCGTACACAGCTTCTAATTTACTTCAATAGAATAATTTCTAACTCAAAAATATCCCAGTTAAAATTAAGGAAAAAAACACCAAATAAACTTAATTCTTTTAAAAATTTAACTTAACTTTTCAAAAACATAACTTTTTTAAATAGTTTTCTAATTTAATATTTTCGTTTTTGATTAAAATAAGACATATTAATAGACATTTGGGTTGACAAACAATTACTGTAATAGATTTGTTGTACAAAGTTTGAATGCTTTTTTATATTCGACCAGTTCTAACGTTTCTAGTTTCTAATCTCATTTCTAATTTTAAATTTTGAACTTTGGTCATATAGTAAAATGTTAAGACAAATTTGGTGTCATTAATTATTTTACAGTAGATGATTTTATGTTAAATGATTGAAAGCTATCTTGACTTTTTAGTAAACATTTTAGTGATATTTCAGAAAAATCTTTAAATGATAGCTTTACAGAATCATTTTCTGATTTTTAATTTGTAAATCATTTTTTAGAAAATTGTTAAATGCTAGCTTTTCAGATTCCTTTTCCAATTTTTAATTTTCAAATTCTGTCGCTTAAAAGAATAAGATATATTAGTACACTTCTTTTAAATTTTATTAATACTTCAGAGAATCGTTATATGAATGCTTCTTAGAATCATTTTCAAATTTTTTACTTTAAAATGCTGTTGTTTAATTAAATAAGATACATCAGTGGACTTTTTTTTCCAATTTTTATATTTTAGAAAATTATTAAGAGCCTGCTTTTCATTAATGTTTTCTGATCTTCAAATTTAAAATTCTGCATTTTCATAGAATGAAATATATTAGTACAATTTTTTTTTAATATAATGATGTTTTAGAAAAGTCTTAAACGACCGCTTTATAGAACCATTTTCCAATTTTTGATTTCAAGATTCCGTTTTTTAATTAAATAAGATGTACTAATATACTTTTTGAGCAACAAATTAATATACGTCATTTTAAAATATTGCTTTTAAAATGACGTAACATATTGCTAGCAGAAAAATGAATGCAAAAATAATTAAATTACTTACAAAAACGGTCATTTTGACAGATAACTTTCTATACTCACAGCAGGAGATAAGAAAATATAATTTGAATGTCAGCTACAATGTCTTTATATACTAAACTAAAACCAAGAAAAACATCATCCCATCAAAAGAGCAAAGGAACGGAATCTCAAGGCCGCAATTGACAAATCTATACCAAAGAAGTATCATCATTTAATTTTTCTTAGGGGTTGGGCTCTATTTGAAAAATAATTGAAGATGGTGAGAGTTTGCTCTTCAGAATCCCTCTTGAATAATCCCACGTGGGGTTGTGGGAAGATAACCTTGAAGATAATTTTGGTTTAAAGCATGCACCTGGAGTAATCTGTAGTCAAATTTGTGATATCCTTTGTAAAACAGCCAAACGACTAGGAACTAAGTGGCTTAATATTATTAATGTATTTTGTAATGATGATTTCATTGTCAAGGTTTTATTGGCAGTTATCATTTTTTTCTTTTTCGCGCTAGAAAGGAATAGTTGAAACAAACAATTATTTAAAATGAAAATTTATTGAAAGCTAATACTTAGAATGATTTTTATCATTTGAAATAATAGTGAAAAATATAATTGTTAAAAACTCGCATTTAATGAAAAGTAAAACAATTTCAACATAATTTAACTATCAATCATACTCTCAAACATTTGAGAATTTAGAGCGAAACATATTTTTCAATGATGAGCTAAAGAAGAATTTTTAAAAAACTAAAGGACTTTTATATCAGAACTTTAGAATATTTATTTCTTAAGCCTACCTGACCTTTTTCGTGCATGTGTTTAAATTATTTATATATAGTGATTGACAAAAGTTTTTTATATCTACTTTTTTTAAATCCTAATGCATTACCTATACTATTGCGAAAATTAAAACAGAATGAACTACATCTAAACTACAGAAATTCTGTAGTATAGTTAGAGGGTATGTTACCAATTCTCACCCGCAAATAGCAAAATCTTTTGAAACTCGTATCAATTTGAAGCAAAAAAAAGAAGAAATAGTAGAAGAAGAAAAAAAGAAAGAAAGCTTAAGTGAAAGTGCAGAAATATGCATAAACAAGAACCTTTCTCAGTGTCTAAACACCAAAAATCCAAAAATTATTTGGTTTTTAGACACTGAGGAAGGTTCTTGTTTCTGTCCATTTTCGTACTTTTATTTGTATATTATCCTCATTTTTTTCTTTGCTTCAATCTAAGAAGCACAATTCGCTCTTTCTTTTGGGCAACAAAAATCTGTTAATTTAATTAATCTCAAGTTTCGGAAGATCCCATCATTTTTATATCTAGATATAAGTATTAGAAACGATCAGCTATGAAAGATATAAATTGTTTCAATCCTTAGTCCATTTCAGGGTGACCACAACCAGGATAGGTAGGTACTTTATTTACGTCGCAGCATAATGAGCGTTTGGCGACGGTCTGGGAAACATCCCTGAGGATGATCAGAAGAATTGCCATCGCAATTTTGATCCTCTGCAGAGGGGATAGCTCCCCTGCTTTGGTAGCCCGACTACCTGCGCGAAGTCGAGCATTTTACGGTAGTACAGCTTTACGAGGACTGATAACTCGCACCCTCGGTCCGTAAGCAGGCTGATTAAATTGGTCACCCACCCGCTTACTGATAGCAGTAAGTGATGCTTGACTTAGGTGTTCTACTGGGAATCGTGTCTTTGCGATCAGTCCTCAGCGGGACCAACCAAAAAAGAAATGCCATCGTGCTCCGAGTAGCGGAAAAAGTTTACTAGAGGTAATTTTTTATTTTATTTTAATGCATGATAAGTTATTCTGTAAATACGATTTAACACTAGAAAAAACTGAACATTGCTGTATACCTAGACAGACAGAAGAGACCAATTTCGTCCTCCTCAAATTGTTTGAAAGTAGATCAGTCAAACATCTGAAATCTTAAAATATATTCATAATTAACTTATTAAAAACTTAATATGGACTTGATAATCGAAATTCCATGGTATTTTTCGATTTAGGTACCATTTCTACAGTTAACAAAAATATTTTGGGGAAAAATTTAGTGTTAAAAAAAAGAGTCATAAGCTTTGTGCATTTTTCAAACTTTATTAACATTTAAAAGGTAGAAAGATTGGTTTGGGACAAAGAATAGTTCAGAGTCGACAATAGAAGATGAAAAGGTAGAGAATTTATTCAAACATCAACTCAATCCGAAATCATGCCATAAATCCAATACCGGTCCAGTCGATACCTGTAAGGAAAGTAGAAAGAAGATAAATAACTACATTTACAACAGTCATTTTTATTTCAAACTCTGCAAAACTAAGAAGTAGTTTACACATTTGAGCAAATATTAAAGTCAAGTCATGAAGAGCTCAAATATTCTTAGAATTTTATTAAGTTCAATATGACGAAATGTTAATATTAACTACAAAAATATTTAAACAAATTAAAATTTTTAAAAATATATTTAGATTGCTTTATGCCAAAAAAATATTTACCATTCATTATCATTTAAATGGATTATCATGTGCTTGCTAGAAAAGTAAGCTTATAAAATTGCATTTTTGAAGTTCAATGAAATTTAGGTATCTAAAATTACATTTCTCTTCTTCATATTTTTTTTTTCATTTCCAAGCATATTTAGTAAATTAGAATTATTAAAATTTCCAAATATCTATATCTATTTTTAACAAAATATAGAAAATTGCATTTTAAAATTTTGAACAATTCTAGATTTTGAAATTTTAGTATTAATAATTACATTTTTACTTCTTTAGATAAATTTTTCAGTTCTACAAATATTTATTAATTTAACGGAATCAAATTCAAAATGAATATTTTGTATTTTTTATTAATATGCATTTATAAAATTAAATTTTAAAATTTTAAACTTATCTAGATTTAGAAATTTTAAGGAGTTTTACGCATAAATAATTACATTTTTTCTTCTCTAAATATATTTATAAATTTTATAAGTATTTAGTTGTTTAGCGGATCAAAATTCAAAAAGAATATCGTGTGTCTTATATTAATATGCATTTATAAAATCACATTTTTAAATTTTTAAACTTATCTAGATTTTTAAAGTTCAATAAATCTTTATCGTTGAGATATTGATATCATTGTTTAAAATGTATATTATATATTTTCCTTAAAAAAATTTAAAATATAACTTTTTAAGTTTATGATCCAGAATTTATCAGTTTAATTTTTTTTAAGCATTCGGAGAGGATATTTCTTAAAATGCAAAGTTAAATGGGGTACTTTAATCATAAAAACGGTCTTCTTATCAATTTGCTTCATAAATGAAACAAGAAATTATTAAAAAATATTCCATTTTAAAGGATATATTTTATAAATAAAATTCAAGAATAAAATCGTTACAAAGAATATTTATTTTTTTACCAAAAATTTTCTTACTTTTCTACAAAATTTTTGTAGTTTAGAACGAAATTAAAATGTTAGTTTTTTTTAAACTTTATGCTTATTTTATTCTCTACTTAGAGTATGCACTTGTTCGCCAAAATTCGTTAAGAAAACTTAATGAACTTAAAATATTAAAATCCTTAAATTGAACTAATTGCATCTTACTTAAATTATTGATAATTTTTTTCAAAAATGAATATCAGCAGTTAAATCGGGGTAATTTTTATAAACGTATGAACCTCACTGAAAAGAGACAAAATTTATTTCGACAAAACGTACGACATAAATTTTACTATAGAAAATTACAATACGAACGAACAGAAAGTATATGTTCTCTTACTAAAATATTTCTCTAATGCATTTCAATATTCTCAGCTCAATTCACAAATATTAAAACAGAATAAAAACCTGTTATTTATTCTAGCATAAAATTGCTATACGAACTAGCATTTTTTACATGAAGAAAAAATTTTGATAATATCACTGAACTATATCATAATGATATTTCTGGCAAAAAAAAAAAACTATTAAACCACAATATACGGTATTTAAACCATTCATTTGGTAATTTTCCGTTCATGTGGTAAAAGTTTACTGGTAATTCTGGTTTTAATAAAATGCAAAACACGACACTGACAGAATGAATAGTTTTCATACCACTAAGGTATCATAATAACATTACCAAAATGTACCACATACGATAAAACCTTATTTTATTGTTGTTTTTACCAAAATTACCAAACAGCATTGCCAACACATTACCAAACAGCTTCGGTAAAAATTACTGAGATGCTTGGTGTACCCATAGAGCCAGAAACAGGTTGAATTTGATCATATTTGGCCGTTCTGACCACACATTTGTTCTCGATATATATTTTGTTCTCGATATATATCTCGATTCACGTAACCCTAAGTTTGTTTTTTAATAAAAAAAAGTTTGTACAGCTAGGCATTTTTGTTCTCAAAACTGGCTAGAACTTAACAGTTTCAGAAATACTCGAGAAACATAGCATCATTTTATATTGTTTATTAAGATTATAAAAAATATTTTTAAATATTTTCAGATTTTGAACATTTTAATAGATATTAGGTTTAATAATTTTTTTCTTTCTGGTTTCCCAAAAATTTGCTTTCGGATTTCAGGAGAACTTAAAAATTCATTTTATTTCATAAAAACGCACCTAATATGTTTTTTTTAATAATGGGACTATCGCTTTACATTTTAAATTGGATACTAAAAATTGGTTTTAACAAGCGATTGCTTATAAATTTCAAAAATAATCTAAAATGAATAGTTAATTATTCTTACCAATATTATTCAAAGGCTCACTTCCAATAATAAGCAGCAGGGTTGTAAGCGTAGTTGTAGGCGTAAGGGTATACAGCAGAATGGGCACCATAATAGTATGGGCTGTAGACGTACTGGGCGAAAGCCACAGCCATCATGGCGACCAAGAGAAGGACGAAGAACTAAAGAAAATAATAGAAAAGTAATATTAATAATTAAGTTTTACAATCTAAATTGAATAATGAAAGAACATATTGGATAGGATAAAATGTTTCGATTACATTCGAAATAGGGAATTTATGCATAGAAACACCCAAAATTTCTGTAGAATTTTTTTGTTTTAAACCGCTTAATTTAAAAACTTGATAAAAAAAATTTACATGTCTATAATATATACGATATCTATACACGATAATACATAATGTATACGATACGTTCTACGTTATATAATATATTCGAGCGTTTTCAAAATGCCACTGTAGCTTTTATT